AGAGGAAATAATAATAATAATGTAATTTAAAATGGTATTAAACTTAATCTATTTTACAGATATTAAAACGATTTATGTAACTTTGATTTCGCAAATTTAAACTATTTGAATAAACGTCAGATGTTTTGATATATTCGCCTGTTTTCTTACACGGAGCGACAACAACTACATATTATACTACACACATACTACTTGCTTTATAAAATGTTAAAACTAAAGATTCTGAATTATGTAAACTCTGGGTTATTGCGAAACCCTTTAATATTGTTTTTTGTATATTTTGTAAGTTAGAGGAACGAAATTTGAGGATATGGTCGTGTATATATTAGTCCTTAACAATTTTCAAAATTATGACAGGAAGAAGGGCATTTTCGTAACCCATGCGGCCCTGTGCACTTAAAATTTGTATCCTTTTAAATTCTACAATTTTCGCTTTTTTATATCCATGCAATTTTATCTTATCGCGCGACTTTGCAAATATAAGTTTGTGATTTTCTATTTTCCCAATTTTTCGACTTTAAGCTTTTTTTTGCGTACATATGGTAGAGAATTTTTCGAATAATGGAAATATCACACCAAACATTGGGAAAAAAGAAACTATTTAAACCTATGTACGTAATTTTTTTTATTATAAACATTGTTTATCTCAGAGTGGGAAGCAGAAAACGAAGATTGGAGCAAATTTCATCACTCTAATGATTCGGCCCATATATTTTGCGAGTTGTAGACATTATAGTGATACAATTTCCATATTTTATATTTATGTAGTTCAGTAATCTAAAACAACTTATTCTATATACTTTCATAAATAATAAAGCGCGCAATGCCAACTAAAGGTCGAAGCGAGCGGAATCTAGTATTTATTCTTTTAATACAAATTAACATACATATGTGCATGATTTTATCCTTAGTACCAATGATTTTTTAACCCCAACACCAACTGTTTTTCAATTTCAGTTTTGTGAACCAATTTAAAATTTAAGACGGATATTTATGTACCAATCAACCTTTTCGGAAAAAAAATCTTCAAACAACTTTTATTCAACATTCGCAATTACAATCGGAATTTAAAAATATTGTTAGTTGCCAAAATCATATACCTGTCAGAATATCTGATAAAAAACTGTGCCATAACTACGACGCCAATAAAAATGTTGAACATTTTGTGGTACATACCAAGAGCCAGTTGAGTTACCTGACAATGAAGAGTACACACAAAAGTTATAAAGCAGTGGCGGCAATAGACAAACAAAAGTAGTGCAATATCTTTGATATAAAGGAAACTGAGTTATATAGTAAGCCAACAGTTATTTGTTTGCAAAGCTGATAGATAGCAAATAACATAAATCCATAGATTTTTCCGGTAAAAGTGAATTTACTGACCAGTAAACAAGTATATACACAATCCATACACATGCAATAGCAGCAGTTATAACAACAAAAATATCAAGCCTTATGCGGCATATACTTATCAACGTACACGCACTTCTACATAAACACATTTACCCCCCCCCCCCC